CGCCTTAGGGATTCAAGCTTGGATTCGAGGTAGGTGATGGTTGTGATTCTATGATTGTGTGATGTATGCTTGTTCTTGCTTCATTATGATACTTGTATATGTATGAATGTTGCAATGTTGATCACACTTGTTGTAAATGAGATAGATGTATGCCATGAATCACCTCTTGTTGTATGATTGTGAGAATTACATTGTGATTATGGTTTGTTGAATGGGCGAGTGTCACGATCTGACACACTAACTGGGATCGGTTGCCACGTTTCGGCATAAATATGGGATCGGTTATCACGTCATAACTAACTTGGATTGGATTGCCACGTTCTGACATAATTATGGGATCGATTGCCACGTTCCAGCATAAAACATGGGATCGGCTGCCACGTTTCGACATAACTAACTTGGATCGGATTGCCACGTTCGGGCATAAATATGAGATCAGATTGCCACGTTTCGGCATGCTAACTGTTTGGGTTTAGGTTCTATGAGATGACCATTAAATTGAGTTCCGTGAGAAGACCATTGAATTGTATTGTGTATCTACTTGTGATGAGTTCGTTTATTTCTAATGATGATTGATATGGAAAGACGATATGTTGCTCTAAATTGATATAACTATGATATGTCAGAATCGTGAAGTTGTTCATTGTTCGTATTTGTTGATGATATTATATATGTTCGATATGTTACACGTAGTACGATAGCCGCGTAATCCTACCAGTACACGGTGGTTGTGTACTGATACTGCACTTGCTCTTTCTTTGTTGAGTACAAGGCATTTTCAGGTAACTATTGATAGACCCCAGCTAGGTGACTATGAGCGTGACCGGATTCAAGGGTGAGCCAGTTCTTTCAGGCTGCCATGGATCTTCCTTGTTTAAGTCCACTCTTTTCGGACTCAGACTTTTTGTTTAAGGTGTTGTTTAGTTTCGGGGTTGTACCCCTTGTTCTTAGACTTGTCGTTTGTAGAATTTTTGTACATTGACTTTCAGGTTCTAGGTTAATTCTTCCGCATTTGTTAGTTATTGTTGAACTTTTGTAATAGTTTATGGAAACTCTATTTTGTTTCCTTAGTATTTGACTTATATGCCTTAGTTTTTAGATTGATTGCTTGGTTTGGGTTGTAGTAGTTATTCTCCCACCGGATGGTTAGTGTGGGTGCCAATCACGACGGTCTGGATCGTGACATTAAGTCCCGTTTGGCCATAGATTTCCCAAGTAAAACTTGGGAAAAAATTTGGCAAATATTGTTTGTCCATACACTTTCTCATTATTTGGCAAAATTTTTTGGCAAATAACCCAAATTCCCAAATACTAGTTTTTTCTAGTATTTGGGCCAAATCTCATTATTTGAAAAGTTTTAAAAATTCAAATTTAACACCAAACTTTTATCTTTTACAAAAACACTTTATTTATTAACACCAACCAACTCAATCAAATCTCCATCTGCTAACTAACTCAATTAATAAATTTTTCTATTATAAAGAGCATACATGTACAAGAGCTTTTATACCCAAAAAATTAGTTGAACAACCGTAGTAAAAGCTTTGTGGCAATCCTCTGTGGAGAAACAAATTGAAGGTAATTTGTAAAAATCTACATATATTTTCTTACTGTAATGATGCTTTTTGATTTGTTGCGGAAGTCATGAATCTTGTTACGCGACATTTCTATTTTGCTATGTAATACAAATTTATGGTTAGTTTTGATAGTTTTAAAAACTTATGGGCATAAGTCATATTTCTTAAAAAATTGAAATATATTTCCCAAATACTATGGCCAAACACATGGTGAAATTTCACTCAAATAATATTTGCCAAATATATTTGGAAATCTATGGCCAAACGCTAGCTAAGTATAGGATTTAATCACACAAATAAACATCACTTTTATGAACTATATATATAGAGAGAAGTAATAGATTTCTTAATTTCTATTTTTTTTTCTCACTTGCTATTAGGGAGCCTGCGGTTCGAACAGGCCAAAACTTTTGATTAAGGATGAAACAGTTTCATTATTGCATCATAACTCAGGTTGGTAATTTCCGTTTTTCAATTAGGTTGAATCTATTAATAGCTTTAATTTTTTCTTCTTTCGTATGTGATATGCATGCTAATTTGCTTGCATGGTTTTATTTAAGGTCCTTTCAAGAGGAGCTCAGCCTAATCTTGAGTGGTCCGAATTTTTTCAAAAATATACAAAGCAACATAAAATATTATCCTCACGCAATCATATCTTTAATTTATATCATATTATGTGCGCACCCAAACCTTGAAAAATTGAGAGTGGAGATTGACTTCAATTGATAGGAAATAAATTACTAGTTTGATATTTCTTCCGATTTGTTTCAGGTTGTTTGACTTTTTAGTCTATTTAAAAAGAATGATTTTTTTCATTCTTTTAGCAACTCTTTAATTTAAATTTTTCACGTAATATGTTTAAGATCACAAAATCAAAATTTGATCTATCTTTAATTTAAGACTATAATATTTAATATTTTTTTTTAATTTTCTTAAATTTCATGTCAAATCAAAATAAATCAAACAAATTAAAACGGACTAGCTAGACCCCACCAAACTCGAGGGATGTTTGCAATAAGTAGAATAATATGATGAATTCTTCCACCATGTATAATTGCATATTAATTTGAACCATATACTTTCATTTATTTAAAAGAGAAAAGAAAAATTCAAATTTGCCTCATTTTGTGAAATGATTCAAATTTATCTTTCACTAATAATTGGGTTTAAATATATTCCTACTTAAATCGGCTCAAATATATCCTTATTTCCTAATGACATAAACATAGAGATATTTTTATAAGGAAAAAAGAACAAATTTACCATTAAATTATGTAGGGGGGAAAACTAAAAATATTCTTGAACTATTCAAAATAACTGGCTCAAACTAGCAAAATATCCTCGTTGTTATGTGTTTTTTGGCTTTAAAATGCCCTCCAACTAGCAAAATGGCTCAAAAATACTATTTCTACTAATGAGTCATTTTTTTCCGGTCACTATTCAGATGTTCAAATTAACTGCCCTAGTATTTCGAATTGTTGATCAAGGGTCCATTTTCTCTTATTTTGGAGTAATTGTTCGTAAAAAAATATAACCAAACACAATATCATTTTCTATTTCAATTCCGTTTAATCTCAAGTTAATAAAACTTAAATTTATAATAAATCAAGTGCAAGATTATAACTCGACTAATCAAAATAGCCACAAATTATAATTTTATAATCTTTTATAATATGATCACGTAAACCTTGTACATGACATCGACACTGCAAATTAATGCTAACTTTGCGTACAACATCATCTGATTCATTCATGATAAGGAGCCATCAATATTTAATTTTTATTTTTTTGAATTCATTTTTTTAAAAAAAGGACGATGTTTTTATTACCTTTTTAATGTTATATAGATTTTATTGTACATTTGTGAAATTAAAAAAAAATGCTGAAATGAGTAATAGAATTCACGTGAAATAAAGGTGTCAGTCATAGTGAGCTCGTGAATTTTTTTCATTAATTAATTTTCTATTCTTATCCAGTTTTGCATATCAGCACTAGTCGTATACATGAATTTTAATAGCAAAAATAAAATAGGTCATATTTGTGCAACAGATAAAATGTGATTTGATGGTAAAAAAAATATTTTTTAAAAATATTGACGACGTATTTTATTGAGAGGAGAATTCGAGAGTTAATTAATTTGGTCTATTTAAAATTGTAAATGAATTAATTAATAGTTACATTGAAGATAATATTTTGTGATATGCTAACTATGCATAAGTGATGGAGTATATCAGCTTTTGGATTATTTCTGGAAAACTAATTTTTATTTAAAAAAAGAAAGAAATTGGAGTCTTTAGCTTTTGAATATTGTAGTTTATTTCTGAGAGTTTTTGAGTGAAACTAATAACATTATATATGGTTGATATTTCATACAGATAATTGTATCGTTTTTTGTTGTTATATAATATCAGATATTAACAATTTTAAAGAAAAATTTACGAAAAAAATATGATATAGAGTACTGTTATCGATCATAGAAAGGTAAAATAAAGAACAAAACAAGTTTATTAGATACTAAGCAAAGACAAAATGAGGGAAAAAGAAGGTAACGATTTCCTGCAATTCTTCCCAGTATGGAATGAGTAAAGAATCAAGCTACAAGTCTCGATCTATACGAAAGGCACTTGTTTTTTTTTTCTTTCTTTCGGTTTCATTGATAACAGAAAATGTAACAACTAACAACACAATCATATTAAATTAATTGTTATATAGACTAGAACTTTTCATTTATAACGATGAATTTAACAATATGTCACAGTAAAATTTAAATAAAAATTAAAACAAATATTATATTTAAACTGATAATACAATACAATATGCAACAATCATCCAACCAATAGATGTTAAAAAGTTTTTTTTCTTATTCAAATAACGTTTTCCAACATATACTAAAATTTCTTCAGAAATTCCACCTCCAGCTTAAATTTCAGAAAATTGTTGAGATGTTTTAGATTTAAAATTCCCATAATCACATGTTCTTAGCGGAGTCAGAAATTTCGTTAAGGGTGTCCAAGATTAATATATATGTATAGAAATAATCGTTAACCTATATATTTCATAATTTTATTTATATATATGATATAATTTTTTTACGAAGAATGTTCGATTGACCATCCTAAACTATACGCGGCAGCACCAGGGGGGAGGGGGAGGGAATCTGTATGAAGGATAAGATCCATTCATCTTTTAGAAAAGGAATTCAACCACTTTTTTTTTTCTACTTTACCTTCCCTCCATGAGAAGTTTTTTTTTTTTTGAAATAAAATTCTATACATATGTCGTTTTAAGAGATTTAGAAAAGAAAATCATGTTCTCCATAAATGATAAAAAGCAAAAAGAATAAATGCAAAAGTTTGATTCGATGGTAAAAAATGGTATAAGTTGATTGCGTTGCATTATCGAGAAAAACGGTACCACCAAGTCAAACGCGATAAATATGATTCGTTCATCGTTAATTAAAAATTTTAAATCTCAAGTATTGAAAATAAAAATTATATAAAGAACACATACAATAAAAGATAGTATGTACTTTTTTCGAGAGATGTTTGACGACAAACATGCTATCCGTTTAAAAATTCTAATGGACAATACGACACAATCTATCAAAAAAAAACTAAGTATTTTTTTATAGATGAATTGATAGTAATTTTTTCTATTAAAATTTGGATTAATCATGATCTTAAAGTTATATTAGGTGGAAAAAATAGAGAGAAAAGGTAGCAAAAAAGGATGAATCGTTTGTTTAGATTTTAAGATAGTTATTTTTGTGACATCATTTAAAGAGTAAGGTACTATTATTCTTATACAAAGTGAATGATTAGAAAAGTAAGGCTGATTAGCAAATAATGATCTCACTTTCTATAAAAGTAAAAGAAAATAACTAAAAGTAGGCATTTGAAGAAATTCTTTCCAACTATGTCGTATGTACGGGTAGAGTACTCAATATCGTTGGTTAGTCTGGAACTCTCGCGTTTAGAAATTGAAAACTACATAAATAAATAAATTATAATTGATGTGGTTATGTTGAAAGAAATATAATTAAAAATGAGAATATTCAGGACAAAACAAAAATGACTTCGATAGAGAACAATGTGGGAAGTAATATCGAAAGTTGGTGTATATTAGCATAATACGTTAATGTGTCATTTAATTTGACTTGAGCTGATATCTACGCCTTGCAGACTACAACTTTGAGCTTACATAAGTAGTCATTTAAATTTGTATAAAATTGAAGAAGTAGATACATGCATCTTACGTGGCATAACACACGTAGGACACCAAATTGAAAACGCATTGTCAGGTAGGACACATGTATCTACACTTGCACACTAAAATTAACAGGTCTAAATATCAGATAAGGCCAAGTTAAAAAGTACATTCAACTCTCCGCACCACTCTCTCTCTCTTCTTGAATTCTGTTTATCTCTGTTTTCAACAGTCTCATTGTCTCCCCTAAACCCCTACCCGACCCCCCATCCCTTTTATCTTGTTTCTTTCGACCCACCTAACTATAATCAACAGACGACCCTTAAAAGAAGAAAAAGAAAACAAGAACAAATGAGCTAAGTCTTCTTCGTTTCCCAAGAGATACAGGGTATACATATAAAATATATACTATAGTACTAATACTTATTTCTTATTGAATTTACATGCATTGTATGTATCACTATGATTCTTCTTTACATGTTCATGCATCTAGAAAAAACAACTTTCTTGCTTGTGCTTTTTCTCCACTTAATTTTGAAAACTAAGGTTTTCTTGAAATTGTGTTGTTTGTGTTTTCACATTTGGTTTTTTTTGGAGCTAATATGTTGAAGATCTCTCACATGGGGTTTTCTGTTTTTTTTTTTTTTTGTTGCTTTTATGTTTTTTTCTTATTTAAAGGTAAAAATATAGTCTTTACCTCTTTCCTTTTTTGTTAGATGATGTTAAAGATTCAAGCTTTATAAGGTTTGTTGAAAAAAGAAGAAGATGATTTTGTTTTTTTTTAGGTTTTCTGTTGATTCTGTGACATTTTTTTTATAAAGATTGTTTTTTTAATGTAAATCGGAAACAACCTATTTACCTCATGTCTGCGTACATTCTACACTCTCCAAACTCTGGGATTATACTGAATATGTTGTTGTTGTTGTTTTAATGTCTGAGGGGAATTCATTTTTGGGTGTGCAGATTGAATAGTTAATGACTGATTAAAAAGTGACTGTTTTGGAGGGACTAATTTGGATGTCTTAAAAAGGATGCCTTTTTAGAAATGATTTGCATTGAGAATGAATTATTGGGTTGGAATGATTTCCCAAAGGGGCTTAAAGTCCTACTTCTTGATGAAGACAGCAACTCTGCTGCTGAGATGAAATCAAGGCTTGAGAAAATGGACTACATAGGTAAGTAGTTGTAACAAAGTCGAAAAATACTTACTCGCACCTGGTGTTTAACCCTCTATGTTCCTTCTTTTGGTACAGAAGTTCACTTTTGCAAGTTAATTGTGCATTGCTTGGTCTGTTTCTTTGTTGATTTCTCCTTATATGTGGAAAGAACTTTACATTTACTACTAAGGGGAAATAGTTCTATTTTAAGATGAAAAGCATTTAAGTAATTCAAGATTCATACTTTTACCTTTCCCTGGTGTGCTGCAGAGATACTCTTACAGTATAGAATTTTAACTTTCTTTTTATGGTTCTTGCAAGTTTATACTCCCTGTGTTTCAATTTGTTTGTCTAGTTTGACTTGATATGGAGTTTAAGACAATAAAGAAGTCTTTTGGATCTTGTGGTTTAAAACTAAAGATATGTGAATTGTATCAAAATGTCC